ATCAATACCATTATTTATACAAGACTACTTTTTTACAAAACGTAAATACTGGAGGTTTTCAGAAGTTCTTGTTAATGAGAGTTTCCTGTATATATAATATAATACAAAATACAAATACCGCTTAACTACTAATGACGAAAACCATGAATTAATCCTGCTATTTCGTCTTTTCTTAATTTTCCTCTCTGGCGCGCAACTGCCTCACCATATTCTACAGGCACCTGTACAGCTTCATCACCATTATTGTTGAGATCTTGCAAGATTTCAAAATTTTCCTCGTTGAGGTGCATTGCAACATTATGCAAAATAAAGCAGCTTAAAATAAGAGATGAGACTTTTTCTGTTTTTATGCGAACTTTGATTTGCAGTATAGGGAAACGCTGTTTAACTTGGCCAAAACATCTTTCTATTATAACTCCTTCTCGAGTGAAAGACCTATTGTACGAAATCTGCTCTGGAGTAAGAGGATCTGTGTATGGCGTCATAAGTCATGGAGTAAGGCCATAACCCGAATCTCCAAGGAGAAGTGCACTAGCTCTATTCCACTGCATAATGTTAACCATGTCGGAATTTCTCCATATACGCGATTCATGAATGGCCCCCGGCCAAGATGCATCCACACTTGTAAACTCTTCTCGAACGTTGCAAGTAGTTTATACGTTAAGACTACAAAGTCCCTTTCGATTGACATATTCACCTCCATGTACTGCTGGTTTAATAATAGAGATGTGAGTGCAATCAATTGCGCCGATAGCGGAAGGGAAATTGTATTTTTCTTGCCATTTATATTTCTCTTGTTGCAATGCTTCTACGGTTGATGGAAACTTTATCCATACATTTGATTTTCATACTATACTATTCATTTCTGCTGCCACTGTTACAGATACCGTTGTTTGGTGTACACCAATGTCCTGACCAACGCCACTTTGAAATCCCTGGTCGCCAACGTAACGAAGAAAAATTCTCATTTTCTCAGTAGATGTTAGAGCACCACCTTTGTTTTCAAACTCATCTCCTAAGAAATGTTGAGCCAATCATTCCACGTTGTTCTCATTAAATCTATATAAAACCCGATAGTTTACATTCCGAGATTCTCTCCGAACATTACAATGCTTTCTGACACGATGAATAGGCATAAATTCAGCCATCGCGTCTGATAGTACCTTTGTTACTGATGCTGAGCATCCTATCCAGATAACTTAAAATTATTTAAGTAGCTGCTTCATCTCGTTAGCACATGTTTATTTTTATTATTCATACCGAAACTTAAGCAGATACTCACTTTTAAGAGCATACTTACAAAAATAGTAGGTGCTTCTTACTTGAGCACCTTCTTCATCATTTTATTTATACCAAGTGAGGTACGTACTCCAAAATTTCAAGTAAAAAGCAGGTGCTTAACTTTATTAATACCACCCATTGCTGCGACAGAAATAGAAGTGATTGTGATTCAAAATGATTTAGCTTTAAAGTCATTAGTCTCAAATACAAAATGTATCTGAGTAAAGATAAATATTCAGTTTTATGTCGTGTTGTCCTGAAACCGTATTCGACTTACAGATGAACATTTGTATAATTGTATTCGAATATTATACTCCAAACAATAAAAAAAGATGTCAGTGTGTCTGAGTGTCAGGCTTCTCACTGAACACGCATTTTTTATCTGGACACGTTTTTGTTTAAAGTAGCGTTGCTTTTTTATTTTTAGTTACCTTTATTAAGTCATATGGGACAGGTAGCTGACGAATTAGATTTTCAAACACCTACGATTGGTAGGAATGGTTGTAGTTGTGTAGTATGTATTAGATATTAGTTTATTTAAGTTTATTAGTATGTATTAGTATTAGTAAAATAAGTACATGTACTCGTATGTCGCATACAAATGTGTATAATTTCATTTAAGTTGGCTTACATTGCTTACGACTAGGTAGCTTACTGCCTATTCCAAATTTACAAAGTAACTCAACACATTGAGAAGGTTGGCTACCACTGGTCTAAAGTATTCAAATGCATAAGTTTTACAGATGACATCAACTTCAAGTTTAAGTTATTTTCAGGGTCGCATTCCCCCGCTTATAGACCTGATCCTTTAGTACGTTGTATAACAAAAGTGTCTATGGTTCCACGAATAGCTAGCCGGACAGCATGTCTCCTATGCGTATTGTGGGTTCAATACTATATACAAAGGGTACCATAAAAGTTATGCAATATGACTTAATAAACGGACGCAGGAGGCTGCATGTTGAGACATGTCCATGAGTGCATAGTAGCTGCCAGCAGCACGTTTGTTGATTTAGTTGTTCATTCGCATTGACAGTGTAAAGTGCAGACTATGGCATCGTGGTAACGTAGTGAAATAAGGGCAGTTTCACGCGTGGCTTAAGCACAGACCAGTGCTTAGAGGAAATGACGCTTACATTAAAGAATGATTGACCTCATCGTAAAACTATATTCAGGTGGTGCAGAGAATTCCAAAGGGACTACTTCATTCTGGAGGACGCTGAGAGGGAAGGAAGGTAGCGAACGTCAGTTACAGAGCAAGACATTACTGCTGTGAGGAAAATGCTTGACGAAGACCGGAGAGTGACATACCAACAGATAGAGGAGACCTTACACCTTAATGCAGTAGCAGTTCATCCATTTTGCATGACCATTTAAACGTAAGGAAATTTTGTTCTCTCAGGGTACCGCATAGTCTGACGGAAGAGCAGCAGACTCGTCGTACGACTTGGTGCCGAAAGATGCTGAAAATGTATGATAAGGGGCAATCTCGGTATGTGAACATCATCGTGACAGGTGACGAGACTTGGCCCTAATGTTACTATGTGCCGACCAAGGCTCAAAACAAAGTTTGGATCTTTGATGATGAGGACACACCCGTATCTGTCAGAAAATCCCGAAAAAAATGATAGCAGTATTTTTCAAATCGAGCGGAATTATGGAGCATGTCGTTTTGGACACACAGAAGGCAGTCACAACTAAGTGGTACATGGAACAGTGGCTGCCTAAAATCATAGTGTCTATGAAGACTATAGTCAAGAATGGACACTTGGCACCTCCGCCATGATAATGCTCCAGCTCACCGCGCCAAAGTCTGCACCGAGTATTTGACCACTACTGAACTGAGACTTATTAAGCACCCTCCATACAATCCAGATCTTACTGCTTGCGACTGTCCACTGTTTCAGCATGTAAAAATGAAGCTAAAAGGAAAACGGTTTTTTAGCGATGATGACCTTCTGAGGGTTACGGACAACGAGTGTGATATTTATTTACTTTTTTAACATCAACCCTACTGGTTAATTCAGCAACATTGCAATTCTGTCACATGTACCGGGTAGTGCTCCGAGACACTACCCATTTCTGGAATTGATCGAGTCAACTTAGTTGTACAGAGCTCTTATGAATAAAAATTTACATTTTCCTATCCCAGTTGTTTTTGGATACCTAGTGGAGTGTGAATATGGGGCCATATTAGGCAAATCTGTTTGAAAATGGAACTTTTACTCTGTCTATCAAAGTGCCCGAGATATGGGTCTAGATATTTTCATGCTGTTAGACAAAATATAAAATATCTCGAAAGAGGAACTCAATTAAATGCATAAAGTCCCTCCAAATATGTAACGGTCATATGGATATCCATAAAACACACCTCCACCTTTGTATTGGGACAACTTATACATATAATCCTGAACGTTATTCTCACGGGAACGCTGCAGGATAATCTTGAACGGTTCTTGAAAAAGTTGGTGTCTCGAGGCAATCCTCCTTGTGCCAGAATTGCAGTGTCGGTGAAGCGGCTAGTAGGTACAAAGATAAAAATGTTTACATGTTTACTGTTTTGTACAATTTTGGTGATTTTTGTTTGCTCTTGCAACAGTTTTTGGGACAGGTATACTTTTACAAAAAAAAAATACTTCTCGCCGATGATCGCCCTTAGAAAATTTTCTCATGGTATCTTAGCCCATGGACACTTCTGTTCTATGTTGAGAAGTACAACATACTCTATTTCAAAAAAAAATATAGTCGAAGCTCAGTTTTCATGGTTTCTGCGCGGAGTTTTCCGAAATACGAACGTGATGGAGCTTGACCTGTCCAAAGTCCGAAAATGTTATCGAGCACAATACTTCCATTGAAAATGTGTAAGTATATAATAGCGGACCAAAGCTAACCCCTGAGGGATATGTAGCACATTAGTAGTACGTTTCATCAATTTTTAAATTAAGGAGCGATATGCTACAGAGATAGTAAGTAATGTTGCTAAAATTAGGTTCTAGTGGTATCAGAGTGACTCATATTCACCACGGTCCATGAGATGCGTAGACCGATTTACAATACGCTAGAAAACAATAATGTGAATATGATGAAAATGGGAAACGCATTCATAAAACATGAAAGGAAATAACAGGATTTGCTGTCAGGTGCACAATATGAAAACTGACGGCAGTAATGGCTTTTTGCCGTTGCCGTTTGGTAATGAGTGCAGCGTCTATAGTTCCGTGATAATTAAATAAGTGACAACAGCCGATGCGCCATTGTTTTTCGATGTTTGAGCCAGAGTTGATTGAAATTAATTAATACCCGGTGCTGTGGTGGTTCGCTGTTGGGGTGCGATGTGAACGTAGATACGGGGAAAACCGCTTATGAATTGTTTGAGGAATATTATAATACGACAAATTTAATTGCGCAATACAAAAATTAAGTGTTGTTTGGAGAGTTGAGAAATGCTAGAAGTAAGGCTATTATATTTGATTCAAAAGACGACATCATAGAATGTCGTCGATTAAAAGTTTAGATACCTCGTGGTGAGATATTTCAAGCCCACCGCAACGCATTTGCTGCATCTCACTCTATTACTCGATGATGAAGTTTTGACCTATATCAAGGACATACCTGTGAAGCATTCTGCAATCTAAGATGGTATTCCACGTTGTCTACTTGCTCAAATTGTCGATTTAATTGTTACACCACTCACACACCTTATTAATTTGTCTTTCCAGAACAGAGTGTTTCCATCTGTGCTCAAGAAAGCAATAGTTGTACCAATTCATAAAAAGGATAACTCTCGCCTTATCTTTAACTTCAGAGGTAAATCACCTTTATATACATTTTCTAAGATTTACGAAAAAGCTTATGCCTCTAGATTATACAGATTTATCGTTAAGAACAACATACTGACCAATGACCAATTTAATTTTATTCTTTGATCTCAAGCGCGCTTTTGATTCAGTAGACCATTTAGCTCCAATAAGTAAGCTTCTTAATTATGGTATTCGAGAGTATGCTCTTGATTAGTTGACAACAAAACTATGTTAGATCACCGTACACAAGCAGTTCGGGTTAAAACTGAGACAGGCCTTCTCAAATCTACATATTTTGCTGTGGAAACTGGTAGTCTACAGGGGAGTACACTGGGCCCGTCGTTGAAGCGGCTGCTATCTATGATCTAGTTAACACGAGCAAGTCTAGATATTGCACTAATAAGTTCTAAGCTCATCTAAATCATCAATTCATCACCACAAACAAGTCTCGTAGTCTGTTGTTCAGATGCAGCAATAAAAGTGTGTCAATACTATAATTTGGATTATAGGCGTGCTTATTGACGAACTTTTAAAACTGGAACAAGCAAGTTGACGCCATTCTTAAAAAACTGTCGAAGCACTGCTATGTTATTTTTCAACTCAGCATTTTTGTTTGTGTTGATATCCTCAAGCTATACTACTTTTCGTACGAGGGATGTCTTTCAAGTTTTGCATATAGAAACATAGTAGGCCGCGCGGACCTAACGTCAGTACTGAATCTTAACCTCACTCTTTAGTAAACTTGATTTCCCAGTTTCACAACAATACGTGCAGTGTTCTCATCACAGTGAAGTGTCACCAAGTCATAAGAAAAATGGAACTCAACCGAGAACATTTTCGCGCCATAATTTATTACAACTTTCAGAGACAATTATCGCAACAAGAATGCCTTGCTGAGTTACTGTCTGTTTTCGGCAACGAAATGCCACATCAGTCGACAATTTCTCGTTGGTATGGAGAATTCAAACGTGGACTGGTGAGTCTTAGCGACGATTCCAGGGTGGGTGCACCAAAAACGGCAGTCAACCAGGAAAACGTCGATGCTGTGCGCAAACTCATCATTGAAGATAGACATGTGACATATCGCGAGATTGAGGCATCCTTGAAGATCTCAAAGACCTCAATTCAAAAAAATTTACATGAAGAATTAGGAGTAAGAAAATTAGTTTCTCGTTGGATACCCCACCTGTTGACTGAAGAGCAGAAAGCAGCCAGGGTTAATTGGTGTCACAAAACGCTTGACCGTTTCAATTCCGGAAACTCAAAAAATGTGTACAGCATTGGTGATGAATCGTGGATTTACTGTTATGCGCCAGAAAATAAACGACAGTCGGCTGTTTCGGTGTTCCAAGGTGAAGAAAAGCCAACAAAAGTCATCCGTTCTCGAAGTGTTTCGAAAAAGATGGTCGCGACATTTGTGTCAAAAGCGAGTCATACTGCAACAATTCCTCTTAATGAGCAAAGGACTGTTACTGCGGATTGGTACACCACCATTTGCTTGCCAAAAGCCATCACCGAGCTTCGAAAAGTCAACCACGAAATAAGAATTATCCTCCACCAAGACTATACAAGCTCGCCCAGAGTAAAAAAAACTAGGCAGTATTTAACGGAAGAAAACGTGGAATTATTGGACCATCCTCCATATAGTCCCGATCTAAGTCCTAACGTATCTTTACTTTCCCGAAAATTAAAAACAGACTGCGTGGTCAAAGGTTCCAGTCACCAGAAGAAGCAGTTGACATACAAAAATGCCGTTTTGGATCTGCCAGCAAACGAGTGGTATAAGTGCTTCGAAAATTGGTTCGAGCGCATGCAGATGTATATTAATCTTCGTGGCGAATACTTCGAAAAACAATAAAGTCATTTAAAACTACCGACCGTGTGTTTTATTTCCATATGCAAAACTTAAAAGACATCCCTCGTACCTCCATTCGGCCCTCAGATACTGCACAGTTTGCTAGGAAAACCGCTCTCGTATTACTGAATTGTTCAGAATTCAGAAGAAAATATTGAGAACATCTTCTAAGCATTTGCAATACCTGTTTAGAGAGCTCTTCAAACATCTGAACATAATGACCACAAGTTACCAAATTGTATAAAAACCTTACCGAATACCTTTTTTTTAGGCAAAAGTAAGGACATTTATGTTCGTGTTTCAACAAGATGATTTCGTCCGTCCGACCAAGAAAAAAAGACAGAGATCCAGAGATAAAAGACCAAGCCTATACAATGCTGATGAGTAGCTAAGAAGCACGAAACAGCTGTCCATGGTTGGCTGCCTTCTTTTCCTGGTCGGATGGACGGAAGCATCTTGTTTAGTCTGTTTAGTTAGTGGTCCTCTTCCTGCACAGAAATTCGGCTCACGGCTTCAATGGACAGCAATACTCTAAATTCAAGCATTCAGAGCTCCAGACTGATCGCTGTCATTGAACGAGAATGATTAATTAATCTCTAACATTTATCATTCATCATTCGACTACAAGGTAGTTAAGGTTTTTTTACATCGACGTGGTGAAGGTAATCTGACTAGCTATATTCAGAAGGGCCCTTCTCCTGTGAGCTCTGATCTGCTGCATTCTTCATTCCTAGCGAATGGGGAATGTGAAGCAATATGCAATGCAGGATTTTTCAGTTCTGCTTCACTTTTTTAGTTGTCGCCAAACCTCTATTGTCACGACTATGTCCAGTTTTGCCTTCACTTTTCATTTTCGTTTCCGCAAGACTACATCTTTTCTACTCCATACATCTCAACTCGTTGACATTCAGCATCCAATAAGCCAACCACTCGTATCAGATAAGCCATGACTGAAGCCCAGCCGCCCTTCTACGAGTAAATACATGCATATATTCAATTCCACTTATCTGAGGAAATCCAACGTAGAGGTCCCCGTTTTCAATTGTCGAACGCTCCGTTTCCAGCGCTTAAAATTCAGGCTGGATCCCGAGAGCGACTGGAAAAAATTAAGCATACAAAAACTTGGCCTCCCATCTGAATTAGGAACTCCCATATGATACCTTTCTGTACCTTTCTGGGTATACGATTCGGTCCCGGAGCGAGACATGTCGAGCACATAACGTCCTTTTTGTGTAGGAAAGTTTCAATTGATGGAATAATGCGTTAACGTTATTTTGCTTTTTCTTTTTTGGGAGAAACATGTGGTTTTTAAATGGACCTGCTTATTCGAAGGGGTTGAACATTACAATATTTTTGAACTTATTTGATAGTTCATTATGAATGACTAAAACACTGGGTTATATAAAGAACTTTGATGACGCTCAGGGTGCAAAGCACAGTGGCGCAAAGGTCCTGGAACATGACCAAATCTAAAAAGACACAATGATTTTTACCAACAAACTCCAGCTACGAGGTTTGTAAATTAAGTGATGAGAATGCCAACGTAGTGTTCGATCTGACAACACTGGAGGAGCCGTGCTTGGAGGGGAGACAGGGGAACATGTGATTCGTTTTCAGAAGTCGCTTACATTATTTGATTGTCGGTATCGATTTTTTTTTGTGAAACTGTTTTTCCTATTGTCTTCTAATCAATTTCAAGCAAGGTGCGCTATCAGTTGTTGCTTCAAACTTGGACACAGTGCAACGGAAACTCCTGTTAAACAGGTCTATGGAGATAGTGTTTTGTCAAGCACCCAAGTCTTTCGGTGGTTTAAGGCATTTTCAAAAGGGAGAGAGTCGACTGAACTTGAACCATGAAACTTTCATCTTCAAGAACCGATTAAAATATCAACAGAACCATGGATCTTGTGCATTCAGATTGTTGGTTGACAGGATGATCGGGGCAGAGCTAAGTTTAACTCACACCACCGTTCACGAGATCGAGAACAACTGGGTGTTGTTGCATCACCTCCTCGTCACACAGCAAAGGGAATAAACGAGTTTTTGACCGGTAAAAATATTCATGTGGCTCCTCGGCCTCCTTATTTACCTGACTTTAGTCCTTGTGACTTTTTTTTCTTACTGAACTTGAAAAATCACCTCAAGAGACAGTTGAAAACATTCCGTCGGCTGTAACCGAGGAGTGGAAGATCCATCTCCAGCGCTGTGTAAATATATTTGAATAAAAAAAAAGAAGAACGAAAATCAGTCTCATCACTTAATTTACAGACTATGTATATGTTTCCCGAGTTCCTGATCACAAACACAATACCCATCATTTGCCAAAACAACAAAATGTCGGATCGAATATGGCAGAGGTCCAATATACTACCAGCTTAAGCGTTCCTGAGAATCAGTTATTTGAGTTGAACAGTAAGCTAACTTTACTATCTTGATATTATCTTGTAATTATCGCAGGAAAATGCTTCTACTTCATCCATAAAATGTACCCTGGATATTCATTAGGACCAAATGAGGAATACAAAAAGAAGAAATGATCTGCTCGCAGCCTCACGCATATATGATCTTCCAGACTCAATAGAGATGTAACTTATGTGGGTGGACGGATGAAGATCTTAATAAAAAAAGGTCAATTTTCGAAAATAATTAGTTATAAAAGCTTATTACTAGAGCTTATACTTAGAGATGAGAAATTCAAAATCCACATAAAAGGAGAATCTATAAGTGTGAATGAAATGGAATAAATCTCAATAGAATATCATTAAAGCTAACTCTGAATGACATTACGTTTAAGTCATTGAACTTCATAAAATTCTCCGCCCGCTGACATGATAGGAAAACAAAACTGATCGGCAAATATACATCAAAAACACTAGCAATAGATTAAATAAAATATCATATACATCTCCGATTGGAGCCGACAATGAGACGCACATAGCAAGTATAGAAATTGTGGATTTCCTTGGTTTCTTTCAAAACACTAACACAGTTCAGCTCGGAGCAGTTGATAATTAAATTGACGTTTGTGACTTTGGGTTTTTGAATAAACGCTTATTACTATTATCATGAATGCTGATTAAGCATTACCCAACCAAGTCGAATTTACCCAACCAGGTGAGCAGGTGGTAACGATAACAATTCTATTTGCTGTTAGTTGTTTGTAATAGAAAATGTTATAACCACGGATGCTTGTGGGACGGCTACTATTTTTTTGTGTAACAACATGATTTGCCAATTATGGTGTAATGTCGCATAACTCTCAAAGTTACTGCCAGCTGTAACCAAAACTAAACTATTTCTCAACTGGAGGTGGCTCTTGTTAGATAAGATACTGATAATCTTCGTGCCTTCCACCAAAAAGGAAGTTGTTACAATCCTTCTTCTTTGTCCAAACTACCCTGGCTGCCAATCGCGCCTACAATGTACATTTGACGTCCAAATGGAGGCAGTTCTTTACGGTAGAGGTGTCAGTGGTAGGGTTTACAAACTCAGATGTATGTACAGCTTCTAGATCTCAACAAGCAGTTAGCAAAGCATTTAGTGAATTCGCGCTCCTCTCTCCAATGTTTTTTTTATTTCACCAGTCACCAGTGGAGAAGCTTTATCGCGTACGAGGCTACGAAAGCAAGAAGAAAACAAAGGAAAAAGTTGCAGGGCGCGCCGCCTAATCTTTTTCGTTGCATAGCGAACGAGCTTGAGCGACAAAAGCAATTCCTGTGGTGCCTTAAAGCATCGTGGGGTGGAAAAATTCTGCTAGCACAGGGCAATTAGATTTTTTGCTGTAATGTGGAATGGCAAAAGCAGGCCGGAAACGCATTGAAAAATAGCGTACAAGAGTTCTCAAAAACGTAGGCTGCATTGTTTTTCAAAATTTCGACAGTTCGGAATAGTAAACTCTAGCAACAGCGTAATTAATACGTAGCAGCTCGTTAACCATGCGACACAATCGCGAATGCATCTATACACTATTCGTAGTCCATTTGCGCCCCGGCCCAACAAAGATGCAGCGCGGCAAAGCGGCAGCCGCATAAGCGCTGCAATAACTATTGGTCATTCGGCCTACGAACAAGTGCAGAATTCGACAGGATAGGATTCAGACTCGGGGTATCGCCGGCACGCCAACGCCGGCAGTTGCTGTTCATATTCGGTTCATACATAGCGTGTGTTTATACGTTAGCAGATGAAACTGAGAATATTTCTCCCAATGCTTCCCTCAGCCAAGCTTTCTCTTTAGTGATGACTCCTCCCAAAAGAAATTGTACTTAACGTCTAAAAGAGGAAAATTTTTGGAAAATCCAGAAATGAAAATTCGTGATATTGAAAGACGTGTGGCGAACAAAACAGGCTTATGTCCTAAGACAATTTTCAACATTGCTAAAGAATATAAAAAAACTAAAAATTGTCTCCACCACACAAGAGGCTGCATTACACTAAGCCAAGAGATTATTTCATGGAGAATAAATTATTTAAGACAAATAAAGAAATACCGCAACCATGGCAGGAGGATGTATTCCTTGGATGAGACCTGGAAGTATGGGCTGACTAAACAATTAAATCAGCAGGACACGCCTTCTTAGATGGACTAACCACTAGCTTAAAGAACCCGTCACGTACGTGTATCTAACCAATTCGTCATTTGTTTTGTAAAAATGGTGTCAAGTATGCGCCCACGCTGAAAACTAAGCTAAGCTACACTAAGCTTAGATATATCTGGTAGATTTAGGACCAACATCAGTTAGGTACTCTGCTTGTATTATTATTATTTTTCTTGAATACTATATGAAATAGTTATTTCCAGGGAAAGGAAAGCGATTTGTTGTCTATCACATTGGCGGTGTAGATGACTTTGTGCCAGATATGGGTTCTGGACAATATGATCGATATTCAAATTGAGGCTATTATAATTAATATTAACCATTCAGGCGATGATTCTGGTACTTCCAGAGAATAAAGAACTGCTTAAAGTATGTGCACTTATATCTATAAAAATATTCATTTATTTTGTTAGATTATTCCAAGACCATTGAGGAAAATGATACCTGTACAATCCCGTTTTTGGGCATGTTGTGTTTTGTCTGGGCGTAAATAGACTACGAAACCCATTTTAGCCTCCAAGAAGCTAGGCTAGAGCAAGTTCTTATCTATTAGAGAGAGATAGACCATTCACCTCAATTATCCACATTAAAATGTTTACTAAATGCTTCTTAATAAAAATCAGATATCTATAAAATTGTATAAGTCGGTCGTGTTTTTAACACCACATGCATATACCCTTTATATATGTTACAGTTGAAGTCCTTACTTAGCTAGTTTATAGACTAGCTGACTACAATACAGACTATCCATATCTCTGGTTACTTTGATGGAAAAATCAACTTTTCACTAAAATAGCTACGAACATTGGTTGGTTTTTATACTATCCAGTTAGTCTATAAAATGTATCGCTTAAGTACAATATTACATAAATTAATCAGAATTTTTGACTAGTTCATAAACTATCCACAGTAGGTAGATAAAGTTTGAGCCCAGCATTCCTAGTAATATATAATAACCAATTCGTTGGTTAGTATGCAAACTAACCAATCCTCTGGTTTATTTACTAGAAAAGTGAGGTAATGTTTGTAGCAAGTATTTGTTATTGCTTAGTGTGAAATTCGTTCCTAAATAAGCATCTAGTTATTAAAAATGAATCAACAGCAAGAATTTGAAAAGCTACTTTTGAAAATATATGACCAAAAGTCACAGAATTCAAAATTAATGAATGATAGTGATTATACTGAACTTTTGCAACGTATAAAGACAATATGTGAAACTGGACCTAACCCTACAAACAAGAATGATTATTATGTGGAAAATAATTACGATTTACCGAGAATCGAATCGTCTTGTGTAACCTTACATAAAAAGTCTGGAAAGATTATTGTACGTTCAAGTGAATTTTACGATTCCATCAAAGCTGCCCACCAGGGAACTGGGCATGGAGGTCGTCAAGCAACAACAAAATTATTAAATGAGAAGTATTACAACTTAACACGGGAAATGGTAAAATTATTCATTGAAACTTGCGAAAACTGTCAACTCAAATGGAACAAAACTAAAGAAGGCATTGTTGTTGAACCAATTGTTTCAAACCATCTAAGTTCTGGATGCCACATCGATCTCATCGACTTAGAGCCGTTTTACACACAAGAGAATTACTCCGAAAATTATGGTCATACTTATGCAGAAAATTTGCACGGAAAAAATATTAAAGATTTTCTCTACAACCTGTATGATTCAGGCAAACAATAAATCGGAGTAATTCATATGATACGCCTGCGCATTAGAGTAATATTTTCGAATAGACATAACCTTAATGGGTATGACGTCCAATATAATCGGAAAGACAACAGACGTCGTTGACTCAAATTTATTTTTGAAATCGAGATCTTGGTTAATATTATAAAACTTCCCAATGCTTGGACTATCGCATCCAGCGCCTGACGCCGCAAATGTCTGTTTTTGTAATTGGGTGACTTCACCTTTTACAGGTTTGGCCATTTTTGGTACTCCTCCAACAACAGTGTAACTCTTTCCCGATTCCACGACATTATGAATAAACAATAACAATAAACGCTTGGTACGACTCGAACAGGACCACACCCACAAATGTTAAGTGAGGTTATGTTGTTGACGATGACATTTTATATTGACATGCACGGAAATAACCCTCTGCGCCGATTCTCTCGCATATTCTATAGAACGGGTTTTATATTTTTATCATGAAAATTTTCACAAGAATTCTTTTACGTGTAAAACGACAGCAAAAATTTTCGGCATAATTATGACCATAGTTTTCAGACTAATTCTCTTGTGTGTAAAACGGCTCTTACAAACTAGACCGGATGGTGAATACAAGTTTATTTTTGTCTATCAATACCACCTGGCCAAACACATCAGGTTGAGGGCGCTGAAAACAAAGAAGGCTAAATAAGTAGCTGAGCACATATTTAGAAGTATTTGCAGACTTAGGAAGCCCGTGCGTGTTGCAAAGTGACAATGGACGAGAATTTGCAAATCAGGTATGTATTTTTCCTATATGTATGTACCGGGTGACGAAATTAGAAAAGTATTCTGGAAATCTGTTACAAATTTGTAGAATGAAATTATTTAAATTTTGTTGATATGCACGAAGGAAGGTAAAACATGATGTAGCACTGGTTCAATTCCCTGATGATCCTTTTTTTAAGTTGATTTAGTTGCCAGTATAAGGTTTTTAAATCTATTTTTTTTTGTAAACATACAAAATTAAATACCATTCAAGTTAATAAAAACATCCATACTAATATTATAAATCAGAAATTATTAGTTTGTTCCTTGACGCATCAGAAATATATTTTGATGTTTAAGGTTATTGAGGAATTAGTGGTAATGTGGCCTAACTGCCACATAGTGCATGGCAAACCGAGACATTCACAATCTCAAGGTTCAGTGGAGAGACCGAACCAAGATATAGAGTACCAGTTAGCGTCGTGGATAAAAGATACTAACTCAACAA